TTTTCTCATGTCAGTGTTGTGTACAAGAGTGAGGTTATTAATTGCTAGTGGAGGCGAGAGTGGTCTTTTTGCAAGCCGAGATATTTAACTTTAACCACATGTTCCAGAAAATTTATCAATAACGTTTCCTACAGTACATATGTTAGGAATAATTTCCTGGTGAATTTGCATCATGACCAAGCCAAGTCATTTCATTTAAGTAGTCTTCAACCATAGTTCGCTTATAGCCTTTTAGTGTCCTATAAGTGCCGAAATAGACCTTTCACACTTGCACTGTAAATATTTAAACTATCAAGGTCAAACTAGGTCATTGGTACCTGTCAATGCTTAGGAAACAGAGCTATACAAGCAATGCCAGTTGCATCAGATCTAAAAGTATAACCAAAGATTATATTATTATTATCTTTATAAAGTACATTTGCAGAGCTATTATCAGTCAATCAATACTCTATAAAGCATGTACACAATAAATATTTTTTATCCAACATGATCAAATATTTGAGATTAAATTTCTGCCACTTGAGGTGTTTTAATTTTATACACATAATGAATATATATGCAGTATATAAAACTTTGGACCTAACCTCGCACAATTATGCAAATCGTACGTTCAATTCAACGATTTATTGTTCAAAATTCAAACCACTTTACCTTATTGCAATACACCTCTTTATAATCTCCTGAAATAGACGACGAGAATTCGAGAAATCAACACATCTCAGCTAGATAGTTTCGGCCAAGACAATTTTATTGCATCAATCGAATTTATCTGCTTGAAATATTCTCCACAGAACACCAGTAAGCATTCCTTATCGTCACTTTCAAATAACGATCTAACCTTTTCGAAATCTACGTCGTTCATTTCGATAATACTAAATAAATTGCTTGTAAAATTGTACAAAACTGCAATAAAGCTACCAAGTGCACAATGCTTCCAAATTGAAGATTAGATGGCCAATCAGAGGAGATGTTCTTTAACTCTTTTGCGCAAATTGTCCAATCAGAGGCTGTTATCTATTTGCAGAATTAGTCAAACTAGTCAAAATTTCGCAATCGTTAGTCAAAATAGGTCTGACCAATCAACATGTCTGTAATGTGTAATCAGAGCAAATTTGACCAATCAAATCACATGAACTAAAACGCAGAATAGTCAATTTTCATTTGAATACCGCTTATTTGACTTATCGTTTGACTAATCAATCGCTGGCTCAATGTGCAAAAACTGATCGAAGTTTATATGCTGAAGTGTGACAGAGTTTTGATTGCGTGATCAGAAATGAAGAGAAGTGTTTGCGCTGGGAAAAAATTCAAAAACCTTAGTCCAAATTTTTTTATAATGCCTTTTTTTTACGTTAGTCGCGTGACTAATCTGACTACCCCTAGATCCGCCCCTGTTAGAAAGTGCACGTTTCAACTCCTCAAACGACTCTACTTGCTCACTATCCCATGTCCAGTTAGTGCCTTGCCTTGTCAGCCGCCTAAGGGGTTCAACCAGCTCGGCGTAATTCGGTATAAACTTCGATACATACCCACAAACGCCTAAAAATGACCTCAATTCTGCAACGTTGGCAGGGGGAGGGGCCTCTTGAATTGCTTTTGTTTTCACCGGGTCTGCTTGAATACCCTTGGCTGACACGACATGACCCAACACCGGTATTTGGGTAAGCCCAAACTCGCACTTTTTAGGGTTTAACTTTAAGTTACGTTCCCTACACCTTTCAAATACCTCGTGCAGCCTACTTATTAATTGATCTATCGTTACTGCATGGACGATGACGTCATCTACCGAGATTTCTACCCCTTTTAGGCCGAACAAAATTTCTTCCATGACTTTTTGGAACGTTTCGCTGATATCGCTTGACCCAAACGGAACACGCTTGAAACGAAAACAGCCTTTGTTTGTTATAAACGTTGTCAAATATCTACATTCCTCTGACAGCGTTAATTGGAAAAATCCGCTTCTTGCATCAATTTTTGCAAAATATTTTGAGCCATTCAGGGCATCCAAAGTGTCTTCTACTTTGGGAAGAACATATCGTTCCCTTACAATGGCTTTATTTAACTCTCTAAAATCACAGCAAACCCTTAAACCTCCTGATGCCTTAGGCACCACTACAAGATTAGAAACCCAAGGGCTTGGTTCGGGTACCTCTTCAATGACGTCATCCTTCAACATTTTATCAATTTCATCATTAACCTGCTTTATTTGACTAAGGGGAATTCTTCGCAGACGTTGGTTTACTGGTTTAACATTTGGATCTAATTTAATTTTAAGCGAATAATTTGTAATTTGACCTAACCCGTGAAACAAGTCATTATATTCATTAACTAATGAGTTCAATCTTGGGTCATTAATCTTCTTAGAGTTAGAGTTAGTCTGCTTCACAAATTTGACTTGTTTGAATATTCCCAAGTCAAAACAGCTTTTTCTCCCGAGCAGCGACTCGTCTTGGCCTTTAATTACGTACACAAAGCTATGAATAGTCATCACACCTGCTTTCAAACTGGCTTTAAATTGACCAAGGCAGGTTAGCGGTACCTTCTGACCATATGCCACAAACTGTTTGGTTGTGCTTTCGAGTGGGTGTTCTTTGAATTGCTCTGTATACAACTGGGAAGAAATAATGTTCTGCCTACAACCGGTGTCGGCGACCATCTTTATATTGCTACCATTGATTGTAATCTGGACACGACTGTCTTGCCCTTCCATGAACAGAATCTGTTCGTCTTCGGATTCGCTTTCAATACACGATTCATTACTATCTGAATCTTTGCGTCGAATTGCACGGACGTTTCTATACGCTTTCGTCTTTTTACTCGAAGTCTTTTGAGATTCATACGGCTTTCGAGATACACTCTTCGAGCGACATACGCGAGCAAAATGACCTAACCTTTGACATGTATTACATTTCATACTTATGGCTCGACAATCTGCTGGCTTGTGGCCCACGCCGCCACACCTATAGCACTTGAAATTTTCACTATTGTAATTCCTATTTCGCTTGTCAGGGTTATTCAGCCGGTCAATGTTAATGATGTTGTCTTTTGTTTCATGACCAGAAAGGAGTCGTGCTTGTTTTATGGCGCTTTCGCTACTTCTTGCTATTCTGAGGGTCTTAGCCCTAGATCTAGTTCTTCCTGAGCTAAGAGTCTTTCTCTTAGTTGTTTTGAATAGCATTTTTCTACGATTTGATCCCTTAGCATTTTGTCTTCGAGCACCCCGAACTCACACGTTTTTACCAATTCCCTTAACGACGTTAGATACGCATCGATTGTCTCATCAGCATTTTGTTTTCGACTGCGAAACTTGTGTCTTTCAGCAACGACGTTTCTTCTCGGCGCGAAATAGCCTTCAAGAGCTTCAACTGCATCTTTAAAACTTTCTTTCTTGCCGGGCAATGTTCTAAAGATTCTTTGCACCGCCGGCCCTAGGCAATGCAGCATTGTCGCTGTTTGAACACCATTCGACTTTTTTTCGAGCTCGACCCCTACAACATAGATATTAAAAGACTCTATCCAAGCTTTCCATTCTATGTATGCATCTGTGGCTTCGATATTGAACTTCGTAGGAGGAGGCAACACGCTTTCAGCCATCCTCGTCGCCGATGTAGTAATGTTGTAACACCTGATTCACATGTGCCTACACTTTATATACTAACTGATTTACATAAATTATACATATAATGAATTCCTAATACACTACACACTGATATCATGTTTCAACGCAGCTAGGAAAGTCGTCGCTGAGTACTGGGCATGTTGCCTAGAGGAGCACGAAAATACATCGGGCTACAACTATCATGCTAGTGTGAGGCTTTGCGGTCCAAAGCGCTGGAATCCCGTGAAGGAGCGACTTCACGAAAAGTTTGGCATCCAAGTGAACTTCTCAGAATCGCACGAAAACTACTATTCAGCCTACAGATATGTATGCAAAAACGACCCTCATGTCTACAAGAGTGCAGACCATCCTGATTTGCAAGAGATTGGATCTCCTGTTACAAAGAAATGCATGAGTGCATACCGTCAAAAGTGCCGTAAAAGAAAAATCGATGAAAATACAGAAAATACAGCAAATCAACTAAATGATTTGGACAAAATAAATGGCAACAAAACGCAAAACGCAAATCTGAGCTAAGTACCGCGACTTTCAAATTTGGATGTATCAAAGTTTTTGGTTAAAAACAACATCAGGACTGAAACTGATCTGTTTATCATAGCAACCGAGCAACAAGAAGCTGGTAAGGAAGATCTTTATAACTTTTTGGTCAGTCGCTCACCAAAATCGCTGCAGGATTTAATTGCGACTACCTGGAAAATGCAAGACGCTAAGGCATCTTTAGCTCGACGCAACACCCCACGCATGGACACGATCCGTAAAGCAGCAGCAGCTGAATGTGTGGATGCTTGCGGTGGAGAATGGTTAGAATGCGCATTGCAAGTGCTTCGAAAGAACGGCTTGCATCCAATTGTATTTGCAGAAGCCGTGCGTGATCTTTTAGTTAACGGTAGGGGGAAGCACAGAAACATATTCATCGCCGGCCCGGCAGATTGCGCGAAAACCTTCATCTTGGCTCCATTGCAAAAAATATTCATAACTTTTTCCAAACAGGCTGACAATAAATATTCTTGGCTGGACGTTGAGAATGCAGAAGCTATATTCTTAAACGATTTTCGCTGGAGCCCTGACTCAATCGCGTGGAAGGAATTGTTGCTTCTGCTTGAATGACAAACTGTCCACTTGCCGACACCTAAGAATATCTATGCCCGCGATATTTGTATAGACAGAGACACGCCAATTTTTGCGACAGGTAAAGCAGAAATAAAGTACATCGGCAAGTTCAACACCACCGATGATATTGAAAACGAAATGATGTCAGTCAGATGGAAGCTATTCAAGTTTCAACACCAAATACCAAAGTCTGAACAAAAGAAGGTGCCCTGCTGTCCAAAATGTTTTTCAAAACTAATTCTGATGGGAGAACTTTGAATTTTTAAGACTTTTCCCTAGAGTTCGTTGATTTAAATGCACGTAACAACACGTAACAAGTCAGGTAACAAGTGATTTTTTGTCATTATCTTTGATATATTACACGTAACAACACGTAACAAATATTTTTTTAAATAATATAATATTATTTACGATCATTAATCAATATGCTAACTCCCCTAACACTTGTAAAGCTCTACACCAGAGTGTAAAAATGGTTCGCAACCCCGTTATCATCTATACCTCCCACACACACACACCAATTTTCATGAGAAATTTAAACAAATACATGAGGATCAGCCTAGTCCCAGGCTCTCTCTCTCTATTCGCTGCTTTGATATATTTAAATAAGTCTTAAAAGTTTTGTGCCTGGGTGTGCTGTGCGGAACGCTTCAGCGAGAGAGCCTAGCAGATTTCGGTAAAATGGTCCCTGATTTCAAAAAAGTGGTCCCTGGCCTGGTTACCAAGCATACCTCATTTGTAAATGGAAAATGTTATGGAAATTTCCTTTGCATTTATAATTAAGTCATTAGTTTTGCTCTAATGCTGTCGGGACAATGAAGTAGGCTACGTTTCGCTGCCATACGGTCAGAATGGAATAACGGGCTAAATATGACTCGTGCTTACTAAAATATGTAGCCATATTAAATGCTATCTAGAAGCTTGAAAATTATCCCGAGTCTCCGACTAAGAATGTTTTGACAACACCGTCATGTCAGGCAAATATTTCCATTCTCCTCAGCAATTTAAACCTGTCAAGTAGAAAGCGTAGTTGTGTATACCAGTATGGTCTAGTGTTGATCACAACTTGCGAGTACATAAATAACATCAACGATTACTCAAACTCGGTATCGTAAATTTGTATATAATTTTTTTTAGTTGAGCACATTTTTAATACAGATTGATTTGGTTATGTAGACATCGAACATGTACATGGTGAACGATCATTGTCGTATTTATAATTAAAAGGTTACATGTATATATAAATTTTCCGCCATATTAAAAGTACTGAAATCTGCTAGGCGTTCTGAAGCACCTTGAGCGGTGGCGTCACACCTAGGTCCCAGTCTCGTACTACATCCACTTTTTTCTCGCGCTTGCTTCAGAACGACTGGGACTAGGCTGCATGAGGATATTCATATAGCTGGTAGAAATCAGTCAACAATTTGTCAAAACCTCACATCACCAGTAAACCGCTGTTTCTACTTCAGGACAAATTCAGACAATCCTGTGCAAAAATGTTATGGAAAACATTTTTTCCCTCATTCCCTGTCTTCTTTTTCCTCCC